ATATTGCTACGACGGGTATTATAATAATAATAATAATATTGTAGGTACCTACAAGGTATATAGTGTTATCTGCCACCGTGATGTGCACTACTAAATATTTGTTGTGGAAATATAATACCCACAATGTTTATGAAAGTATTCGTATTACGCATATATATAATGTCCATAGCGTGTAGCACAATTGTCAAACGGGCGAGTGCGGAACACGAAAAAAATTAATTTATGAAAAATCTGAATATTACTTTACAGACAGTTCTTATACTACATAATATTGTTATTATATCTTCACATATTTTTAAGAGTTATAAGTATACAATACAAGTAAACCTATATACTGAGTGATTCATTTAATATAAAACATTTCTTATTTAGTTTTTTACCAACTATTTTTTTTTTTATGGTAGTATGAATTTTTAAAACACAATCGTTCTAAAATAGAATGTTTTAGAGTAATTCGATATGTAAAAATAATTTTGAACGAGTTGGTTACTCCACAAAATGCTTGTCAAATTGTCAAAACTTTAAAACTTATAAAATACTTGTATGATATTTGACTTTTGATTTTTTTAGTTCGAAATACTCCGAATAATACGTAATATTATCTTTAGGAATATGAATTCAAAGTTATTGTATTTTGTCAGTAAAAAGAGCAAAAAACTCAAAATATGAACGATATAAAATAGTAAGAAGTATGATATTTTCAAACACGTTTGTGTTTTCCAAAATAATTAGTGTCTTACGTTAAATGGGTCAACCCATATAAACCATATAATGTATATTATAACGAATTCAAGATTTTGCATATAATTCATAGATATATCTTTACACGATATTTATTTATAAATAAAGTCTGTTAGGTATAAATATCTGATAGCATCGAAATCTCGAGTCTCTTGATGTATTATATTATAGAAACGAATACTATATATAATATGTATAATATTATGTGTGTTTGATCTGCCGCAATGTATATTGGAACGTTTAACAATAATCCTTTAGTAGATAGATTTATATTATAATATAACTATAATAATTTATTATTCAAGATGCACATACGATACAAGTCAGAAAAAGTAAGAGGAAAAACAAAAATGTGGCAAATGCTCAAGAAAAATTAAGGAGATTTAAGTAAAATAAACATATCAACATTTTTAAAATAAAATATTTTTCTTGTTACTATATTATAAACCATTGTATTAATTATTTTATTATTTTATATTGACTGTTTCATAACAAAAATCAAGAAATATATCAACTTTGGTAAATAAATAAAATCTATATTACCTATAAATATTCAAATTTGTTAAAAAAAAATGTATCTATGACTATGAGTAGGTAATGATCTTCATTGTGTATTAGTTATAATAGTAATAACACTTATAAATTACGTATGTAAAACACGCTAATTATAACTTATAGAATATGTTATATTATAGGAATGAAACTTTCATCGTGAAAGGACTTAGCTGCTTTGTGTAAATATGATCCTAATAATAGCCATAATTCGGCTTTTGGTACAGGGTAATTTATTTTGATCCTTATTATTACTATATTTTATACTCTGTAAATACCTACGATTTTGAAGAAAAATCTCGTACGCAATTTTAATTTCATATAAATTTGTTGTGCGCTATATTGCTCACTTACTCGAAGTTCGATTCAATTACATCCAGATTTTAAGAAAAGCATTTTTCTCCAAAATTTATACAGTAAGATTATTTTGAATCAATATTATAATATTTATGTATAATTTAAAATTATTTTTTTATTTTTTATTTATCGAAAATCGTTGTATATTGACTGAGAAAGTTCTTAAATAATAAGTTAAATGAATTGTCTTGTACACACACGCGATAATAACAAAATATAGCTTTACTATAAAATTTATACACCGGTACCTGAGTAAATAATATATATTATACGTACTCTAACGCGGGAAGAATGATTTTGTTTTCGGTCTCACGGGTGTCCTCTTTAAAAGGTTTCACTTCGCTATGTGTATATTTAATATATTATAATAATAATAATAATAATAATAATAATATTTTAATGTTTTATGTGCGTCGTTAAAACACGGATACCTTGTATACGCACAGTGTATTTTTATAAATATAATACAAAACGGGTTTTGTCAAACAAATCCACGTTGTTTAGAATAATTCGACGTCTGTATTGCCCAGATAACTTAATGTTCTTACTTTTTAATCCATCGAGTACTACAATATACAGGGCGATTCCTTTGCCCCAGTGGAATAATTTTCTCGTCATTTTAAAAATGTCAAAATGTATTGAAATTTTCTTTCTATAAAATTTAACGTAGGTATAGCCGTAGCTGTTGTATGTCTTTTGTTTTTCTTGGTGCAATTACTCCACGGTATTGATTTAAATGGCCAATACTGGGGTTTTAATTTCTTAAATCTTGTGCAGAAAATATATAGCCGAAAATGTTAAGGTTGATTTAAACACTGAACAAATAGTTTTTTTTGGAGATAAGAATTTAAAAAGTTATGCGTTCAATTTATATAACTATGCACATCAAAATTTTATAAACAGTTTTTGCCAGAACAATAAGATGAACTGAAAAAATATTACTGGCTATAAACATAATAATATGAGGGTATAAAAAATAAGGCTAATAAATAAAACTTTAAAAGTGCAGAATTACGCGTATTTATAAACACGTACTACAGTAGTACTTATGCTATAGCATATTATCTTAAATGTATAAAAAAAGGTTTTAAATGAGAAAAATTAATGTTTTATGAAACGAACTTTTGACGTTAAAATGGTCACCCTGCACTTTGTGTAGGAAGGCAAACATGTTATTATTATTAGTATATCTCCGTTATTTTCGGCAAAAATGTAGTAGTTATAATAATCACCTGTAGGCTATAATAAATGTCGTAATAATACTAATAATATTATCGCTTAAGTTTTTCACGATTGTTGTGTAGCCTATACACCGCGGCGCTCTCGTGTATAATCTAATCTGCGCAATATAATATCATACATATATTAATATGTATATACTGTTTAATGTATTATTATGTGCATAATACGTATAAGGTATTGTTCTGGAGTATCTGACGTATTAAAGCGTGTAAATATATAGCGTGCAGGAGACTCGTTATTTACACAATAGCAGCGTATATAGTTTAACTTACAATACGGGCGGCATGTATATAAACAGGCAACAGCCTCTCGAGTCTCAACGTGGTAAAAGTGTATACATATGTATAATACAACATGTTACATGTATATAAAAAGTAGGTATTTGAATTAGTCTTTAAAAAAATATCTATATGCACGTCGTGACAGTAAGTATTGCATACACAAGAATAAGGAGAGTGGATTATTTTAAACACTATTTAATGGAAACAAATTCATATCAATTTACGTATATGTAGATAGTTCTAGATATATTAAACTATTTATTATATTATTACACTAGTCAGGATTATAAAATGTCGCTAAATTTTTTTTATTTTCACCAGTAAAGTGTAACGTGGCCTGCGATTAGTTTGTTATTTTTATTTTCTTACACACGATTAAGTATACTCATAAATTCACATTTACCTATATATGTATCTATACATATAAATAATAATATTAACAAATATTTAGACTAAGCTATCTGTGGTAAATACTATTACGCCGAGTTAAATAAAATTAAAAAGCACCGTAAATCCATAACTTTTGAAATTTTTTATTTAATCATTTTAGATTTTAAAGTTATTATTTTTAAAAATTATTTTAGCTTTCAAGCGTATATTATTGTATTATAGACGTTCAAATCTAACCATTACTACATATAACTACATTACACCATATAAAGGTACGAAATAGTTGTCAAGATCATTAATTAAAATGTGTGTTTTCGTATAGTTAAATGTGTATTGATAAAAATTTAAAATGTTCCTAAATTTGTAAAATGTCGAAACGTAAAATAATATTGGCAAACTACACATTAAAAAACATTCATATTTTGCTAGGTTTAATGACACACAATACGATCGACCTAAAAAAAATAAGCCCAGCTCTAGTTTGAGTATACAACACTTATACTTGCTTAATTTTTACTATGCTAAAGGATTTTATAAAACCCGTTTATTTATATATAAATTTATGATTTATGACACATGGTATAATTAACGTTACTTTTGATCTCGAAATTCTCGTGTGCAGGAGTAGAGGTTTAGGTCATATTTATGCGCGCTACATATCTGCGGAAATGAATATACAATATCGCTCAGTACTAATGAGTGTCTGGTATTCACTCAGGTGCAAAGGTCAACTGTTCTTATTATATTAAAATGATTTTGATTTACAACGCATGGCCCGGAATTTTTCACTGTCAAAACTCAAAAGTTGTAGTGTTATTGTAGCATTAGTATACGTTTTCACGTGAGTTTTGACAATAATAATAATAATAATTGCATTATTACAATACAACACGCACATTGGAATCCATCGAGGAAACTGCACATATAATATTATTTTAATCGTTGAGTAGGAAATATATTTATACATTAACCGATATTGTGATTACACTATTTAGTTTATTGCAACGGAGTCTATGGATGGCAGAAAATCAATGATCGATGTTCTGATTTTAACACAATACGTATAATATGTAATATGAAAACGCGTCATAAATCAGTGATTTAAATTTAAAAAATAATCTAGGCAAATCAAGTTGCTAACGAGTATTAAATCAAATTATTATGTATATACTTAATATCATGGGATTTTGAAAGACTAAATATTTACTGCATTGCGTTTACATATGAGAGTTATTTATGCGTTTATCTAAAAATAATGGTTTGTTAAACTGTATAATATTTACTTATAATTTCCAGATAAAAAAAATAAAAATATATAAAACATGACCGCTGGAAGGATTCAGCTCTCGTTTGCTAATTCTATACCCTCGTTTTTACTTATTGTTGTTATTGTTTAAAAATCGTGTACTTATAATTTGTTAAATAAAAATAACTCACCATGGTCCACGCTTATGGGATCGCCGCAAGAGTCACAGTATTCGGCAAATAGGCCGTCAAAACACTGTAGACAGTAAGGCCGGCCGTCTCTCATAATGTACCTCTGGCCCCCTAGCTGTTTGTCGCACTCCAAGCATGCAAAGTGTTTCATGTGCCAAGCACGACCTTCTGCTTCCGTACATTCATCAGCCAAAATTATCTGTGTGCACATCAAATGATATATATAAGTATATAGTAAGTATACAAGGTAAATTCAAGGTAATCCATTTAAGTGTCTATATTCATTTTTTTGAAAAGTTTTAACTTTATTGAAAATTAGTGGACTACTATTTTGCGGTCTTGCAGACCGAGTCTCACTTTAATTCACTCTTCTAAATTTTAAATACTTATTATCAGTGTCGGCTAACAAATATACCACCTGTGTCCAGATTTTAAAATTTCACTCTTTAGAAATCTTATACTGTTGCACTCATCATAAAAAAAAAATATGTGAATAAAAATAATATTGAAATTATTTAATTGAGATATATATATATATATTTATAAGCATATCGTAACAGCGGTAGTTTTAGTATAATATATAACTATTAGTACTTTAAGTATAATTATTTAAATACAAGTAGAAATTTAAAACTTTTTTTTAGTTTTCTGTAAGTAAATTCTTTAATAATATCATTCCAATCCATACTTTGTAGGAAATTATTCTTAATAGACATTAAAGTCAACAATGAGATATTTTTATTAAATAATGAGGTTCTATGGTAATTCTTCAGTTTCTTTAATACTAAAAAAGATCTCTCCTCGCTAGCGTTTGAGTAGACACAAAAAGTTTTAAGCTATTTTTTTTTCATATTAGGAAATGAATAGTTTAATTTTGATTTTGTTAATGCTTCAAGCAAACTGTGCATGGATAATATTTTTCTTCTTAAGAAAAATCTTTCATTTTAGTTTTAAATTGAATAATCTAATTCTCGAGGTAAAGTTCTAAATTTTCGCTATAAATAACTTCTGATTGTTTTGTGTAAAATTCCATTGTCAACTCCCTCCATATTTAAATAAAAACACTGTTATAAAAAATTAACCACGTTTGTTTTTTAGTTTAAACTCTGTATGACTTGACAAGATTATGATTACTGCAGTTTACGAGACTCGAGAGATGAATATACGATAGTATAATAAAAACAATTGCTTGGTTGTGCATAAATAAATCATTTTAAACTATTAATATCAAATTTAATAATCAACTATACAGTGCTAAACAACAAACATGATTATGTGTCAGTGTGTAAAGTGTACGTACACTACTGTAAATATATTGTATATTATATTGTACGATAATATAAATGAAATTAGAAATGCGTCAGTCCGAGCGTTTATAATAGTATGTATATTATTATGTTATTATTACTATTTTGTTAACACAATTTTCAATGATTAATAATAATTCTTCCTAAAAACTAAAATATATTGGAAAACTTCAAAACTTATGTTTTTGCCGCCAAGAAATTAATGCCGGAGGCTGCTGCCCCCTCCCTTAGCCCGGTACTGCTTATAATTAAATAGTGAATCATACGAAATTTGAATTTTATGCAACAAATTACTTTGAAAAATATTTTGCTTAAGAACAAAAAACTAAAAATGTATGTTGTAATTAAAAAAAATATAATTTGTTTTCAAAAATATTGTTTTGAAACGACGTTAATTATTAAAAAGAAAAAGTTAGAACATTTCGAAATAATCAGTATTAACACTTAAATCGATCACACTGTATAATATACCATATACAAAATAACAATGGGTAAGGCATACTGTGAAAAGCATAATATTATTTTATGTTTTGTAGTCCAGTGCGTTAAAAAAAATTTTTTTTTAAGAGGACTAGCATTTTTTATGAATTTATTTTAGGCAACTTTAACGAAATTTAAATACAAATTCAATATATGAAATAGGCTTGTATTTCATACGTTATCCCATATTCTTATGTCATCGTTGTTGTTAGTTGTTGTGTGAGTAAGGAATGATATATAGAAAATTCGTTGAAAAATGTTGACGCAGATCGACTATTACTGCTTTTTAATGGCATTTTAAACTAAAAACTTATTAGAAAGAAGATAATATTTAAAAAAAATAAAATTATCCATATTTAAATTTATTTTGTATATTTATTTATCATGTTTATTTATTTTAAAATTTAAGTAATGAAAAATAATTTGTTTTAAATCGTATAATATTTTGTTATGTATTATTTAAAAAAATATGTACTTCATAATTATTTTTTAAAATGGTTTTAATATTATGAATTGTGCAACTATTATATTTTTCATTGTATGCCACACCAGAACAATAACGTCGTAATATTGTAGGCATCTTGTAATATAAAACGCGAATAGGGGAAGATAGAGACGGTGTCGTGGTGGGTGGGTGAAATTTTGATCCGTGGACAAAACGGGAGATACCTAATATAATATGAGTGAGAAAAAAAATTGCGTAAACCTATACAACATCTTGTTTGCACTACTGCACGGGGATTAAGGTGTAAAACGAATGGTTGTACGTAGAATATGTATTGAAATATTGTATATTATACCTCATCACAAGCTGAACACCTGGGTTTGAGCGTCTCCGCGTGATGGCGACCACAATAAACATGGTCGTCTTTGTAGAAATATATGAGGTCGACGAGTATCTCTTTACACACACGGCACGTGAAGCACGCTGGATGCCAAGCCGCGCCTGACCCAACTCTACTCGCCGTCACCGCCATGTCACCAGGTTGCAAGATCTCTTGACACTGTAAAAACGAAAATGGTTTAACTTAAATAACTGTAGAATATAAAAAAAAAGCTATAAAAAATAAGTAACCGTGATATTATCTACTATATACTTAAGTACCTATACATCAATATGGTATACATGAAAGTTTTTACAATTTTATATTAGAATTGAATTTAAATATTTTATGTCTCAGACACTCTCTTTATTACTATACATTATATATTTTTAGAGTATCTAATGGTCAACATATAGAACTTTCATTAAGTGCTAAAGCCTATAGATAAGCTGTTTGGAGGTAAATAAAAGTAATAACAAGCTAGGCGTTGTTCTCAGCAAATACGACATATTATTTAGATTTCATATTTTAAAATTGAGGAAAATCAAAGCAAATATAGGTAAAAAATACTGATTCAAAAAAATCCTTTCAATCATTTGAATTTATATGCCGTGTACCTAAGCTGTTCTGTGTGTATTATAATTTGCTTTTAAATTTACAATTACAGGAAGGTAGCTATTTATTAATTTCAAAAATAAAAATATTTTTAAGGAATAATAGAGATGCAGGTAACATAAATAATATATAACAGGATGTTAAAATAATAATTACATAATTGATACAAAAAATATAGTATTTTAAAAATGCAAAATTATTTTTTAATTTTAGTCAACCACCAGACCACGTATTCTTCTTAAAGGAGTGTAGAGTGTTTATGGCTCCAGGGAAAAATATATAAACTATACATTTTTCAACAATATGGTTCATCGCTTGCATTGCTTCGCCAGTTTCACATAATGTTGAATTATTATAAGAAATATTATACACTCTTAACGTACAAAATATAGTTGGTTTTGGAGTTTCCGTTATCGCGACGGGGGATTGTGTGACGATATTTTAGTTTTATTTCGATTGCGTTCAGCGGAGCGAGCGTGGAAAAACGACGATGTAACTTCGAAAATTATTGTTATAGCGATGACGCGCGGGCAGATAAATCAAACACACAATAGGTACATTATTGACACCGGATAACCGGATAAACATTCAATTTTTTTAAACGCGTCTCAGGCTTCAAATTTCAATAACGATAATAATTAAAACCTCGCACCGTTGCAGGCATCGATAATTCAAATAAATTACGATAAAATGAGAGCTCTATTATTGCGTACGCCAGTGGTCGGCGGGTGGACCCAATGGAGGATGCATGGGCTCTGATCAAAGTCAAAAATCTCTGTCATACCATATCGACCGTAAAATGACCCTTTATTATAATATGCACTGCATAACGTTAACGCATTTATTTACATTTACGAATTGATTTAATTACATTGCAATTATTATTTTTATTGCTTACAAACATATCATCGTAACGTCATCACCGGTAATGAGGTAGAGTTGCTATTACACGTATTATGTAAATATTGATATACAGACACAATAGTGAGAAAGTTGTGAATAGATAATAATGAGGGTTGTTTTAAATCATAGCACCGCATTCATAAAAAGATACGAAACATTACTTAATTTAGTTGTATTTGAGGATGTTAAAAATTATTATATTTAAAATCAAAAAATTGTTTTTTAACCAAAGAAGACAAAAATCATTTTTAAATTGAAGGTTATAGATTTGACGTAAATGTGCAACGAAAATCACTAAAATAATGGAGAATAAAAACAAACGAATGTCAAAATTATAGAGGTGAAGCGAACAGACACAACTCATCATTACGAAATACGAGTATGATGACGATCATCGGTTTTAAAATTCAACTCATAATATATTTTATGAAAATAATGTTACTTGTGTTACTCTAACAAAATATTTAACTATGAAAAATATAAAATATTATACGATTTCTTTATACATTTATGTATTAGGTAATAAATACATTTTAATATTGACGTATAATCGTGGTTAAAGCCATAAAAGTGTTTATTTTATTACTTTAATGACTACCTATTTTGAAATTTGACACAAATTGTATACAATAAGAAAACGTACAACCCTATTATAAAAGTGGTTTTTTTAATGGAAAAAAATCAATTTATACAAATGTGAGATGGACGACAAGCTAATAGATAACAAGAAAATGATAAAAACTAATGGTGCTAGATGTCATTAACAACAAAATTATACAACCAATAATATATAATTATAAATATTATATAAAGCTAATGGAATTTCATGAAATAAAAAACTAGATTAACTGTTTTGAGTGTGATAGATACAGCGTATAATATGTTAGCCTAATACAAAACACGATTATTTTAGATCATAATTAATTTACTCATTTTCTGATTTACCTATTTACTACGTTCTATTTTAAACTATTTATATATTAAAGTGAACGAATGAGTGTATTTTATATTTCTAGGAACCTAACTTTATTCTAAATAATAAAATTAAGTGGTCCAATATAAATTGACGTTTTATTTTAACTTTAATTGCACTCAAAAAAATTATTGCATGTGTTTTGCATTCTTTTTCCGCATAAAAAGGTTTATGGCAGGGGTTATTATGGTTGCATATAAGTTATTACACGTCCTTAGGAAAATAGTTAATTAACATATATGTATGTATGTATGTATATAATGTATTAACATAACAGTGTTAATAATTCATCTAAAAATGGTTAACTCAGTATAAGTATTGGTCACCGAGTTAAAGAATCAATCTAAAATTATTCAAATCTCATTTGTTAGATAAATTAAATTTTATACTTCATTTACTAAAATTTAGTCAAACCCATCAAATCTGTTAAACGTGATCGGTACAACCTAAATATTAAAAACATAATTGTATGATAACGACACGGCAAGTAAAGTACAATTAAGCATTTTTATAAATATAAAATGTGTGGATTTTTAAGAAGATAGCTAAATATATAAAATATTAAATTTAACTGCCATTTTGGAGAAGGTCGTATGGAATAGTTGTACAGACTGGATATGGTCTAGAGGCCGTCGGATTCCGACTACAGTTAGGTTAGATTAAAAGACTAAGCGTAGCTCTGAATAATTTGATTTTTTTTTTAATCATTCAAAATTATAATAAAATAATTATTATAAAAATCTTATATCAATCGATATATATATATATGTGTATATATGTATACATAGGTAAATGCCCATATTATATTCATTTTAAAAATATATAAAACGTTAATTAAAACAAGTACGATTGATTTATAGAATTTGTTTCCACTACATTTATAGGTTAAATAGTTTAGTCAGTTAGCGTAATCTTAGGAATTCAATTATATAATTGGTTGAATAATGATATATAAGTGCTTTTTAACTATGAATTGAAAATGTACTACTGGTATTGATTGTCGATAATAGAATGTATGAAATAGTTACAGGGTCGAATTAATTAATAATTATGATGAACACTTAAACTTAAGAGGAAAAATATTTTCAAACAGGTTTTGAATCGAAATTACACATCTCATAATATGTATGTTATGTTAAATTGCCTTGAGCGTAATCAAGAAATTGTTCGAATGATGGAACATATTTCTAAGCAAAAATGACAACGCGCGTGTACCTTAAGGTTAGGTACGTAGGTATATAATGATATATTATATACTATTATACAACCCTATAATAATGTTAAACCGCGTTTAAATGAAAAAAAGTGAAATTGCCATGTAGATACAAAAATGTATAAAATTATACTGTGCAAAATAAACTATGAAAAATCAACGACCAACGTAAAGGCAAAATAGTGAGACAAAGATGCAAATTGTCGTTTTGATTATAGATTTTGTATCTGATTTGCGTGTCTGAATAGAAGGTATCATTTAAAAAAAAAGTCACTCCGTAATAAATTTTTATATTATAATGTTGTGTAGTGTCAGTAACATTATATTTTACCACGTACACAGAGTTTGATATAATATGATTTCTGCAAACAACCACCGCCGTGAAACCTCCTACCAAAATACCAATGTGTTTATGCATAGCACCCCCAGGTTTTGCGAAGGCTTAAAAGCAACAATAGACTGACGAAATGAATAATGTTTATGTTAAACAAACATATTGTTAATCAGCAAACATGTATTATTACGTGCATATTTTGAGTGTGTGTATAGTTCGTCTTGTATAAGATAGCGTATTAAAATTTAAAACCTAACAAATTAGTGCGTGAAAATCAACAGTCCGGGGGTAGAAGCTCGTAGGGTGTTTTATTTAAGAAAATAGATATAAAACAGCGCAGCTACAAAAATGAATAATAACACTGCTATAACTGTAAACGTTTACACGGATAAGATATTACCAAAAACGGAGTAAATGTCGGATAAAAATAATAACAAAAATCACCGTATGTGTGATTCTGAGTCTGATCTACAAAAATTCAGTGTGGTCTAAAAAGGATTTAGATTTTTTTTTCGGGGGGTGGGATTATCTTTTTTGGCAATCGAATGCGTTTGTAAGACAAGATAAACATCCATTGCGTATTACGCGCAACTGTTGTTGTGCAAAAGCCGCAGAACTCAAATCGTACATAAGTAGAATGTAGCCAGAAAATCCGTTGAGATAATACTGCGGGGGCCGCTGCTATCACTTATCACTAAGAAATCAAGACGCAAAATGATTTGTATAAATATAAGCGGAGATTAAGTTAGATTTTAAGGGTAGCTTCAAAAATTAAAGCACTTTTTTAAATAAAGCTTATTTATATAAAGGTATATTTTAATAAAAGTAAACAGATTCGTATAATATTTTCAAGGTTTTAAATATTTTTTTATTTATCATAAAAATATTACTAACCGTGTAATAAACAATAATAGATAAACTATACATGCAATAAATTATATGATCAAACCTAATATTCATATAATGAAAACAAATCAGAAATGGATAACATTTTATTGAATGTATACACATTTGAACATTTCAAAAAATAAAACACTCTGATTTCTGAAACTAAACAGGCCGAGTCAAAGATGAAATCTATTGACTTCAGAAATATAAGCCAAAAGAAAAAAGAACTCATGAAAAAATCAAATTATTTAAAT